GTCGACTCAATATACTGCCGTAGCCAAAGGATTAAAGGACAAATGGTGTTTTGGAGACATCGAACCTTCGTATCTAGGATACGAAGTTAGAATGTGTGATTTAATTATTTGAATAGAAAATCGGTGTATATAATAGTTTTGTTTACTTTAGATGTATAGGAGTTCAATGTGCGATTTAGGTTTCTCTTGAAGGTTTTGAATATTTTGAAAGTTGATTGTTTTTAGTTGTTTGTGAGAGTAGGAGGGTCCTCGAGTATTATCTCGTTGGATGGTATCTTGTATTGTTACTTCAGTATCTTCGATTGATGCTAGATTGATTTTAACTCCTTTCTTAGAAAATTATTTTTTAATTAGACTTCTTAGTTGGGTCATTCTTACAAGAAAGATATGATCTTCCTAATCGTGGTGGATTTTAATCTCTCCTCGTAGAATTAAGGTTCTCTGAAATGAATCGAAAAATTCTAGCGAAGAATTTGTATTATTTAATACAGTACGCGTAACAAATATTTTAAGCTTACAGTCTGAATACCTACCAATCTCGATAATCTAGCGATATTTAATAAAGTCCACATGCTCCATTGCTACACGGGAAAGAAAAGAAAAGTTCCAATTAGATCTCTCCAAAGAGACACGAATTTGTAAGACGTTTCTCCATTAAATACCAGCTTTAGAGAAACAAACAACGCACGCTGTGACAGAGTAATTTCAAAATAAGGAACAGAGTTCGCCGAATTCGTCTGGCGGATATTCGATCCGACTTTACGTAAGTTAAGCGCGACGCTCAATACGAGTAATTGTTCCAGTAAAATCTCGCGTGTGGGGGATGAACAAAGAACCGATCCCGCGTCCCAATTACCAGCGCGTTGTTTCATAACCGCAGTGCCAATAATTAATCGGGGAACAAAGTTCGGGAGCGGAGTGTTCGCGCGACACGCCGGAAATATAATAAAATGTACACTTCCGCGCTAGAACTGTCCGATGCTATTCGACTTCGGCGAAAGCGGAAAGGCAACAACCGCCGAGATATTACGTACCAGTCATTTTACCGTGGCGTGCAGGCTTATTCGATTAATCGATCGAAACTGACGTGACCCGCGACGAAAGAGAAAGAGAGAGAATTGCGGAGGGAGTGAGACGAAAACGATAGAAGAGAGAGCGAGAGAGGTTGCTTCGGGCAATGTTAACGTCGTCAAGCAGAAAAGAGTTAGAGAACAATGCTTTTTACATGACGCATCTTATCGAGAACCGGTTAAATAACGGGATTTAAAATTCTAGGTTTTTTTCGTATATGTAATGTTAACACATTGCGTACTGGTATCGAGAAATCTCGTTTTTATGTCAAGATTTTCAGCTATATAACTTTGACAACTACCACAGCATTTAAGAAAATATTAAATTTTATTAGAACTAATTTAAACCGTTTAAAATATATTACATAACAATATGATACCTGAGATTTTTTTATAGATAGTGATGTAAGTGTATCTCACTGAAAATCCACACAATTTAATTTTCTGATAATTAGCTGGTACGCAATGTGTTAATATCAGTTCCTATATTGTCCGATTACTCAGTTTTCGATTTTTGCCTTTCCTTTTCTTTATGTTTTTATTCTATAACATTTATGGTCTAATTTGTTTATCTTTATTTTATAGTCAGTTATTTGACTGGTTACGCCAGGAAAAGTGTAGGTACGGTTAGCGTTAATAAGATCTTAATAAGATCTTGACGGGGAATAGATTTGAATATTAATTATTTGAATTGATTGATCGTGGAGAATTGATCGATTCGATATGGAAGATTGTAATGATATTTCGGATTAAATGTTATAATTTCGTGGATATGTTCGATTCAGGGATTCTTAGGAATTTTTTGGAGTCTTCTTTTGATAAATAATATCTTGATTAAAGTAAATGATTAATCTTAGAGGTACAAAGGGGATGAAGAATTTCTTCGAAATATTCTGGAGTGATATATTTTGAAAATGTCGTGACTGGCGATACTAAGAAGTATTTCTCTTAGTTCTAATAAAGTTGAGATACTTCGATACCGATGCTGGAACATCTGCAACTTAGTAATTAGTGACTCCAGAGATCCTTGAAGTATTGCAGTCGGTACAGAAATATATTCTGCCTCGATTGTAATGAGCTTATAATTGTCAGGCACGTCGTAAATGTTTCTGAAGCTTCGTAGAGTATAAATTTTATAGACTTTTGTTGTAGATGGAAATAGATCTAAATTCAATGATCATTTCTAAAGAAATTGGAGAGTTAAGAATAGAAAAATATTTTAATTTCGAATAGTCGTTCCAGGTCGACCGAGAAACGAATAAATTTCATTAAGGATCAAGTAAGAGATGCAGAAAATGATATTTTTAAAGTTGATGCACGTGTACATTTCGATCCTGTTAAATTCAATGATTAAAATAATGCTGAAAGTATTGGAAGTGTAATGGATATATTCTGCCTCATCGATAATAGAATTTCCGGGTAAAATATAATACTTATCGACAGTGTTTCACTGTTATAATTATCTGTTATTTAGAAGGTAGCTTCGCTAGAATGTAATAATTTAAAGTTCCTGAAAGAAAAAGTTTGATTTAATAAGAACAATATCCAAGTTGCCCTGTGACCTGCATTTACTTAATACCTTCCCTGTAATTTATTTACGAGAAGTACATCAATTACGTTTGGAGGAATGAAATGCACATGTGTATTACAAATAATCAGTTTCAATATATAAAAGCAGCATAGATTGTCGCATCAATTTAACACACGACTATAAATAAATTCTGCATTCGTTATATACAGTACTCGCAACATAATACAAACGCGATAATAGATAAATTATTAATGAGTCACATTATGTAATAACTTGTAATGTAATAATGAGTTAAATGTAAGCTCCAAATTAAACCGAGAAATTAATATAATCCCCGATACCTAACGATCCACAATACACCAATTAATAATAATATTAACGACTGTGTCGATTAATTTGCTATGTACATAATAAAATAGTAATTATCAATATTAAGAATAACTTCCTAGTTCTACAGAAATATATAAAAATCTTTAACAAATGTTGTCACGTTGACTGTTTTATATATAATTATATAATCGGCCAGCAATCTTTATCTTTAATACTCTATATTCCTTATCTAACTATTCTACGAAAAGTAAATAGCATCCGCTCACGTAAACACTTCATAGTAGCGATTTATCATAAAAAGGATTATCATACGACTTCTCTTTACAACTCAACAATCTTTCACTCGCAAAGGAAGTTGTCAAACCCATTCAAAAAATTGTGAAACTTTGTGACTAAATAAAGTAAATCAAGCCTAATAAACTACAATTGTTTTCCGTACCGAATTTCTCTTTGAGAAAAATGCAGTTTTCTTTTCCGCGGAGTATCATAGCGGTGAGAGATAGGAAAAAGATGTTTAATCAAAAAATACATTGTCCTTTCACTTCTGTAAAATAGCAAAACGAAACGTTTCAAAATACTATAAAAATATTATTTACTAATATTATTTTCAAATAATATAAAAATATCATTTACGATTTTCTAGAAGTGGCAGAACAACGTATTTGTTGTTTCAATTATTTCACTAGCTCTCGCCATTCTCAAGATAAATCGACGGGAAAGAAAAATTTGCATTTTTCGAAATGAAATTAGGCTCGACTTACTCCGCTTACACACGAAGTTTCATAATTTCTGAGTTTTCGATTTCGATAACTTTTCTTGTCAGAGTGATCGAACAAATGTCCCCGGCCGCGGCGAACGAATTCACAAGTGATTGTATAATAAATCACAGCAGCAGCCTGCGATACACGCCACTAATTATCATCCATGTGCAGAACGCTCAAAAAGCACGGCAATTAGCGCACTGGTGACTGTTATCCCCGTTTCCGGTATCGGCGGCGCATCCGTGACGCTGAAATCCGTCGCGTGTCCTGGCAATCGCACCGCACCTGCGTTTGTAATCTTATCACCTGCCGCGATATCGGTTCAAAGAACGCACACGGCCCGCGGAACTCAGTCAGTCGACTTTCCGTCGCGCTGCAGTTACACTGGTTGCGTACTCGGACGTTCTGTCGAATGAACATCTGACAATCGGTACGTATACACTTCAAAGCTGCAGAAACGCTGACAAGTGCATTTGACTGAAATTAGAAAATCGCGTAAATAGAACCTGCCGGTACGAGAGAAAAGAAAATATTGAAGAGAAAAGCTGGTATAAGTTTTAGAAATACATATTCATTTCACGTAGCTTAACGAAAGAAATAATAATAATGGCATTTTACAAAACAAAAGTAATAACTTATTTAATTTACGTTGGAAAGACGTGTCATGCACGTCGTGATGTTTTTGTCCGAAAATTACCAACGGTATATTGTACACGTCGATAGTCTCATTGATTTACATATTCCTGATTGTTCTGAAATCTACCACTTCTTACAAAATTATTAATGAACGACATTTGTGCACATATCTGTATATAACAGGCAAGGACAAAATTCTTCGACCCAGATTCTGTCGAGATTCTCAATTCGTTGCCAGCGTAAGTGGTTAAAATCTATTAAATAACACTAAGATATAGTATTCTTCTAACGCTATAAGTTAGTCTCACTGAAAATCGTCAGTCACACGGGCCAGTGTTCTCAAAATTACCTGTTAACGCGCTGAAAACGAACAAACAACGTCCGTATTCCTCGAATTCAATTTCAAATCTTCATCCCCAGTCCAACACGATATTATAGAACAATCGGTCGACTCCGTCAAAACGGCAATTCGCCCGAACACGCGTCCGGTGTAACCGCAGTCCGCGCGACAACCGAAACCGCCGGAGATCGTCCTCGTCGGGCGCGACGCGAAAAACGCCGGGGAAAAGGGCGGAGGAAGAGAAAGCGGGAGGAAAATCCGTCGCGGTGTTTACCGGCTGTGTATTTTTCTGGTCGCTCTAAAGAACTTCCGTTTTAATTTATTCCCGGAAGCGGGCGCATCCGTGACAGCGGGCGACTCCGGCCGAAGAACAGGATCAGAAGGAAAAGTTTCCCGGCTGTTCCCAAGGATTACCTTCCCCTTCGTCGGGCATGGGTTGCTGCGGCTGCTCGGACGAGATCTCGTCCAAGGTGGAGCCCACGGTAAGAATTATTTTTTATGATTCCTTCTATCCGCCTCTCTCTCTCTTTCTCTCTCTCTCTCTCTCTCTCTCTCTCTCGCTCTCACTTTCAGACAGCGACTGAAATTTCCGCTCAAGTATTTTAATATAAAACTTCGAGCTTTACTTGTCATGGTAAACTGAACTGCAGTCCTCCCTCGAACTCGGGATAGGTTCTGCTTTGAACCCCGGACCCACATGAATTTTCGGGTTAACCCCTTCGGACGCAGAATACCGCGCGCGTTCCGATTGAATTGTGTTCTTGTATATTTTTCCATTTTATTTTTGTTTGGGGATTAGCGATTGTAAAGTGCGGCAGATTCAATTGGATAGAGTGCGCGATATTTGTTTGTGCATTTTTGAAGCGGGGGCCGGACATTTTGCGGGAACGAACTTTTCATCTGTAGCTGCCGGGACGAGGGATTTGTTTTATTTTTTCGCGACCTGTTGGTTATCTCGTTTGTTTGTTCCTGAATTTTTTAGTTGAAATGAAGATTGCGGAAATTGGATCTCTTGGATTCCAATTTAGTGGCTATCGTCGAATTTCTTTGCGAAATGGGACTGCAGGCGTCAGCTAGAGTCAATTAGAAAAGGGAAATAGTTCGTTGCGCGAGTTGTATTGGAGGTTCTTGATATTCGACGTAATGAGTAGCTATAAGTATCAATTTTCAGATGAATGTTATGGTTTCAGTGATAAATGAAGATTTTATAATCATCCGGAAGTCCCACCGCGTTCCAAACGTCGTTTATTCTTAGAGGAGCGAAAGAAATAAACCGACAGCGGAGACGTCAATACAAACGGAGATTGATTTATCGCTTATGAAGCTACGATGCGCTATCTTCCCGAAGTAACTTCAATTGCTGTTGCAATTGTCTGTCCCAGATATCCCGGGGATTTTAAAGCCACCTATTCTCGGGCTGTTTATGTGCGCGTTATCTTTAACCGTTTCTTCATACGGCAGAAACAATACGCGACAAGTGCTCCAAGAAATTTATCGTTTGATAAAGTTGAACGCGTTCTCGAACAAATTAGGTTGTGAGCGCGGCGAACAAAGGGCGACTATAACTGCTCGTTTCCCGCGTTTCAAAACATAATCGCGAAAGGGATCATTCTAAACTCGCGCGGCCGGGGGGAGGGAGGTTCGCCTAAGGGAACACATTTCCGTGCCGTTGAGACCGCCATTTCCCTGATTAGATACTTTGTAACTGGAATTATTAATTCGGGGAGCAGTCAAAGGCATCGCAATTGAGCCGGAAGCATTTGTTACAGGGTTATGTATCCGCAAAGACGCCCGTGAACCGCGCATTAGCAATTGTAATGCATTATCGGGGAATTTAACCCCTTGCCTCATGACTTCTTTCCCGAGTATGATCGATACCGCTACGTTGCCATCAATAATTTATTGAGAAAAAGAGGAAACTGTTAGATATATATTCTGTGTACGTTTGCTTTGAAGTATAACAAGCATGATTATAGTTATACGAAATATACCAAGTATAATTGTAATTATAATTATACGAGATATACGAAGAATAATATTAAACGCGATATTCAATACGAATTCAAAAGAATCGAATAATATTTCTATTTATCCCGTTCAATACCTCCGCCGCGAGTATGACGCGATATTACAAGGCGAAGGGGTTAATACATAATCGTTTCTTTGTCTGCAGAACCGCGCCCGTGCATACTCTGGAAGCGTTTTTCCGCCCGGCTTCGATCGTTAAACCCGGCATTATCCGTTCGAAATAAAACAGAAGACGCTGCCGGTGAAAAAAAGGAACGGGCGAATAAAAATTTTTACTCCCCGGCTATTACTAAAAATAATGAGATACGCCGAGCGTGGCACCGTCGCTGAAGTACTCCGGGCAAATAATAGTCATCGGGACGCATCATTTCGGTCTTTATTAAAACTTTCTTCATTTAAGGCGAAACTTTCTCGCCGAAGATGACAAAATTAAATCCTACGGGTTTTTCCCCCGTCGAACGTGTACAGACGGCAGTGCGTTTTATTGGCGTTGTAGTTATTGGGGATCGCTCGACGGTCCGTTAACAGATAAGTTTTCCTATATTAAAGTTCTTTTGAGTCGCGTCCCGTTGTGTTGCGCCACGGCGATGTCTTTCTACGAAAGCGACGCGGAAAAAGAGCAATTTAATGGAACTGTTATAACCATTCGATAAGTCGCAGGCCCCGGTGCACGGAACGCTTCTACGAGCTTGCATATTTTCTGTATAAATGAATAATCGATGCCGTTCTAAAAAGGCTGATCTATCGTGACTCCGCGATTATCGAACACTATAAAACTATATAAGCTGCATAAGCTTTTCCGGGCCGCGGGACGGGGAGCGAGCGGGGGCACTATAAAATCGGATTTAAGGGCTGGAATCAACAGGAAGCGCTCGCGCGAGTACGTATTCCAACAGTATACCTTTTTATCTCCCGGCGATTCTTCGCAGACGCGGAGATATAGACATTATTCAATTGATAGCTCTCGCTATGAAAAGGAAAACAAGTTTAATACTTGATAGAATATTCGCTCCGGGAGAAATTCGAAGGAATTCGGTGGATAAATAACGAAATGGGAAATCGTGTTTATATAATGTAATATATAATGGAGTTAGTTTATTATATTCTGTTTATTGTTTATTGGAAAAACTCGAAGATATTTCGTAATTGTTTAAAAGTTAAAAGTTCACATTTGCAAAATATAAATTTCTGTTTGGAACGATTTCTATAAGGCTCCACGAAAATCTCGAAATTCGCTTAAATTTCAGTCGCGATGCAGCGAATTTAAAATCAATAGTGCCAAGCTCTTCGAATCTTATTCCGGACCTAAGGTAATTAATAATTAACGTTGGACGCGTCACATTCTCCTCTTTTCCCGCGCGATTTCATTCACCCCGAAATATAATTGAACGGAAGGGTTAATGAACTGTTTCCTAATCCAGACTTGTTAAAATATTCGCATTCAGCAGAATTCACAGAAATTCAGTGTATGAATAATAGTAAGAAACTGCGTTCACTTTAATTCTGTTATATATTATTTCGTTTATTATATTCCTTTATAATTTACAGTAAAATCTTGACGGAACATGCTTCGCAGCCACCTAAAAATGCAAACTAACCAACTCTAAAATATAAGTTTCCTTCTAAAACACTTTCCGCGAGACTCCATAAATATCTCAAAATTCACTAGAATATCAATCCCAAAGCAACGAATTGAAAATCAAATATATAAACTGTCGAGTTTAACGCATCAATCGCTAACCTTAAATTTCGAGTCTTATTCCGGATCAAAAGTAATGAATAACTAATGTTGTTAGCGTCAGATTCTTCTGTGTTCCGCGGGATTTCATTCACCCCGAAATATAATTGAATGAACGGGTTAATGGAGTGTTTCCATTAAGTGGCAGTTGACGTGGTTCGGTTCATGACGTATTCACGCGTCGACAGGACATCGACTGTCGGTCTCGATCCGTTGAAAATTTAATATCGCGCTTTGCCTTCGGTTTCCGTTCCTTTTTAAATGCCCGCGTCTTCATTCCGGTACGCCTACGCCGCCATAATTACGGACGGCGAACGTATCCGAGAGTAACGTATGGCGCTCGCTCTGTTCACTTAAAGGAGTGGGAACCAGGCTGCAGTTGTCTCCGGCCCAACTAAAACGTCCAATTAATACTGAAGTTCATTACCGCGCAACGAGCGTCGCAGACTCCGCTAACCCGTCGTTTATCCACTGAATCAGCTCCATCCCCCAGCCCTCTACCCTCCATAAGCCGATCTTCTGGCCACGTGACTACACACGCCGCTCTCGGGATATTGGTCGCTCAAGGCCATTTGCCTGATTGTGAATGACGCTATCTCCGAACCCTCCACTTTTACATCTTGTCGGCCGCGCCGCAACGATACGTTCCAGCCGGCTACGCCACTATGGGCCGATTAAGAGAGAATCGAAGAATTTTCATCGGGGAATTTCATTTCGACGGGATCGGCCCGAAATTAAAGGGACTGTATAATACCCGGTATCGATCCGACCTCACTCGCGGCCGATTCGAACGATGAACTTTTGACGTTGCAGAGTGATTCCGGGAGGAATGTTTGAATTTCGGAAATTCGATCAATCTTTTAGCACTTTCGTTTTTTCCTGCTTGTACAGGGGCGAGCGTGTTCTCTGTTATTTTGTTTCTTGATTTGTTTAGGAACTCCAGTTGAATTTGTTGTTAACCTTTTTGCGATGAAACGAATTCGGAATACTCTTCATTCTAAAATTCATCAGCAATTCCTTTTTTCTGGAAATCGTGTATTCTCAATCTTCACTACTAAACGAAACATTATTTCCATTGCAAAGTGTATAGTTTATTTATATTTACTATCGAGAAATACTTGAATGTACAGTTAATAACATACTCGCAAGAAATCCTCCGAATATTTCCAAAAATGTCAAGAGCCACGTTTAACAAAACGCTTCATTAATCCCGAACAGCCGCCGCCATTTTGTCAAGCCTGGCAGCATGAAGAGGCGCTAAATTCAAACCGTTATATCGCCGCGTCCTCGAGAAACCGTCGCGTGAAGCTCGAGCGTCCGCGACCAACCCTTGAAAAACAGTTTACCCGGGTAATTAGCGCGTGTCTTTCACGCACTGAAACGGCGAAATGTAATTAAGTGACGGCCGCGAATCGCGCGTTCGCCTCGTATAAAACACGAAAGATCCGCGTGGATAATGATGTGATCAATAGGGCAGAATGGCGTGCTTTTAATAATCCCGGGAAGGAATTTAATTACGTCCGGACGCTAATGCAAGGTCACCGTCAAAGAATCTAATTAATTTAGGGTGGCGGCTGCACACGGTCTGAGTTGTAACAGGGTTACAAGTTTCCCCTGTGTCGGTGAAACGTCGCAGATTCGCTAAAAGCATTAGCTCCGCCCGATTTCACGGGTCTGGAAATACTGGGTACGCCGCGGCCGCAAAACGATGGATCGCGGCTTTTTTCCCCGATCGTGGAATCCCACGTGAAAGGAATCCGCTGGAAAACCGACACACGGAAGGCGATCGAATAGAAAGATTTTTTCGGAACGGAATTATATTCGCCGCGCATCGAGCGAGGAAATAGAAAACCGAAGTTCGACGGAAATTGTGGGATTGCGAAGCGAAGTTGTCGTTCTTCTTCGCGTTACGATCGGGAGCCGCGCGACTCTTTTCGAAGAATTTAGTTTCTATAGTTACCGTGGATGTCGAGGGACTCCGGGAAAATAAATTATTGCCCCGGGACCGAAGAACAGATTATTTATGTCGCCCGATACACTTCTCCGTCGATGAATTATTCGCTCGTCAATCCAGTCGGCGCGAAGAATCCCGATGCACGGGAAATCTTTTTGACGTTAACGCTGCGGATAATCCTGGAATAATCCAGTTTGAAACAGGACGCAGTAAATGCTTGTATAAATGGGAATGCGTTAATGCAGAATCCATCGACTGAATAAGGTGCTGCGATGATTTTCCTTCTGTTCTTCGCTAAGAAGTATTTATAATGGCTCGTTAATACCTCTTAGAAAGTTAAATGTTCTCGATGGAAATTAGAATTCGCGTGAATATTAATTGCCGTTAGACCATGGGTTTTGTGGGTCCAAGAAGAATTTTAACGAAATATGAAATTGGTGTTAATTATTGTCACGAAAACGGAGCGATGATCGAAATGGATTTTTGTTGAACCGCGATTTCGGATAATTAGTCCGCAGGAAATTAGAATTGCACTTTGACTTTTGCTAATTATAATCGAGTGTAAGAAGAACATAATGAAATAGACGTTTCGGGGATAATTAATGAAATCGTTAATTCGGTTTTTAATTAAACGAGATTCCGTGTACAAATGAATTTTTAAAAATTGTAATCCGCGGGAAATCTCCACTCTAGCTATTGTAATTTACATTAAATTCCGCAGTCCGCTTGTCACTAATACGATGTTACTAGATTACGGATTTCATGCGTTTATAGGAAATTTGAATATAAAATAACACAACGCATTAGAGACTTAATTAATAAAATTATTGATTCACGTTCTGATTATAATAGAACTTACGACGAAGGTGACCAATTTATGAAAATCGCAGTCGCCGGAAAATCTGCAGTCTAATTATAATATTATAAAATACAAATAACAAACGCAGCCCGACGGTCGCCAATAATTAATTATTTCCTGATTCACCCCAGACATGCGTTCTTCTTCTCGCCAGTCCGTATTTCCTCTGAAGTCCGATATTTCAATAAACATACCTCGGATTTTATGCATTTATCGAACAAGCAATTCCATTCGCATTTAACACGTCGACTGCAACGGTGGCCACCGATCACCGATACTTCCAAATTACTCGAAACAAGTTGTAATTCCCAAAATAACAGACGTCAACTAAAAATGTTCAATAACTTTAATAAATTTTCAATAATAAACATCTAATAGTGTGACGTGTAAGAATTTTGATACTAAATAATTGATAACTGTTCCTTTTTCTCTTCGCTAGTGTTCAAATATCCGTCACGCCGCCATCAAAACGAAACGCCCATCAAAACAAACCACGAATTTCAACCCCAATTTCAACTATTGCAATAAAACACAAATTCCGGGAATAGTCAATAAAATCACAAATTTACGTGCTCTCATTGCGCAAACACTCAACAGACGATGCCAATTCAGAGAACCCGGGATGCCCGCAATCCAACGTGAAACATACAAAATAAAGGCAAACCAAGAATCGCCAATAATTAATTATTCCCCGATCCGGCGCGGACCGGCGGTCGCCCCTCCGCCCCTGGTCGTCCCGCGTTTCCCGCCGAAATTGGTCGTTTCGCCCGGCCAACCTCAGTTTAATATTTCGCAAAAGAACCGCGACAGGAATAAGCAAAAAAATTACCGTCGCGATCAGAGGGTTGATGCCCGACGTACGAGGGGTAAC